GAAATATAATATAAATAAGAAATTAAAGATATATAAGAAATTATAGATCGCTAAGATCGCTAAGAAATTAGAGAAATCATAGAAATCATAGAAATTAAAGAAAGTTGAGATCCATGACCGATAAGATCATCATTCATTAATTGTAATTGGCGCAGTATTAATGTATCATAACTAGACTATCACTAATAGCGTACTATTATCTGAAGAACAGATTGTTATCATGTTCAAAAAAAAACAATACTATTTCTGATAATGAAGTTGAGAAAAATATTATTTCAATAATTAATTCTGAGACTCTAGATGCATTTGATACAATTTTTGACTATTTAAAACAAAATAATAATCAAGATATTACTGATAAAAGTACATTAAAAGCAATGGAAAATAGTAGAAAATCAGTTTATAAAAATCATTTTTTTTCTAAAAAGCAAATGAATTTAGATTTATTTGTTAGAGGCGAAAACAGTAATCTCAAGTCAAGCGATACTTATAGTAATCTAGTTGGTGATAATAATATGAACTGAGAAGGTGTTAAGAATAATATTATAGATATAGAAAATATTAATTTTGAAGTTTTGAATTTTAATGAGGTTTGTTTTTATAAATACCAAATCAACCAAAAATATCCTTTACAAATAATATATGGCAAGTCGGCAATGTAGATCATAGGTAATAACATTACTTAATAAAGTAATGATATTTGAGTAACTGTTTAATGATTCATATGTACAGATTTACAAATATAATAAAGAAACATTTGTTGAAAGTTTTCTTGTTTTTGTTAATTGATGCGTCACATTAAATTTTAAAATAATTAGCATATATATTACATGATATTTCAGTATAATGAAAATCTTATCTTTATTCACTATATACCATTAACAAATTCTCTTACTATAGCGAAGCGTGACCTTCAGTACACAAGATTCATTATAAAAAGGGTGAATTGTAACTCCTTTTTTAAAAATTGGAATTTATAAATGAAATAGTTTATGCAATAATATAATTTATTTGTTAGTAAAGGATCATTATTATCTATATTAATAAATATATTATAAAGGTAAATCCAACACAATAACCTTTAATCATGATTTAGATTAACATTACTTTAAGGTGAAATTGCTTTTGATAAAAATAAGTATTTTCTGTTTGTATAAAAAATCTTTTTAGTTTTATCTATTTTTGATATCTATTATACCTATTAGATCAAAGTAATTTTTTTGAGGTAAAAAGATTATTTATATTAGAATTGATATTATTTTGTTTTAAGAGGTATTAATTATTTTGATGATATCTTAATTTTTCTAATAGTAGATATAAATAAGAAAACTAATAATGATAAAATCTTTATCTTGGATTATAATTTATCAATCATTGCCTAATGTATTTTCTGTAAATCTTTTTCCTCATATTATTATCTGTAATATTTAACATATCATGAAATTAATCTTTTACATCTATAAATAAATCATTAATGTTTCTAAATTAGAATTATATATAATAATAGAAATGCATAATGTATCACTCTTTTAAAATAAATTCTAATATTAATCTAATAATAAAAATCTTTATTGTGAACTTCATCTGAAAAATTAGAGTTTAAAACTATGATATTATAAATGTTTTTAGGTAGAATATTAAGATTAGTAGGAAGATGTGTTACTCTTGAAAATGGTTAATGTTTAGATATATTTTGTTTGTTATGTGATGATAATATGTCAGTATAAAATTGAAAGTATAGGTTGTTATTTTTCAACTAAGCTGTAATTTACCTCAGAATTTCATTATAGATCAGATTCTTTACCTAGATAACTTGAGATAGTTGATCATTTGGTTGATCCAGAAATGTATCTAGGATTACAGAATAATATACATATATTATAATATTATAAGAATGATTCATTGATCCAATCAAGCATCTATATTCTGAAAAGGGATTTCTATTTGAGATCCTTTCTAATAAATGATATAAGTAAACTAAAAAGAAATGCTTTCTTTTTGCAAAGATACTAAAAGGATTTTTTGTAATATAGGAAAGATGAAGGAATGTGAATCTTGTAAAAGGATTCTTGTATAATTTGCAGATAAATATTCTTAATTAAAAATGCAGTTGATATTAGGATTAAATGATAAGGTAATGTTTGAAATGTGGAATAGGTCAACCACTTGATGTTGCAATTAACAAACCTTTTAAGAATTATTTTTGTTAAGAATGACATTAGTAGATAAGTTACTATTGCAAAAAACCTTTGATGCGTTACAATAACTGATATTTGTGAATGGGTAAAATGTTGGAAAAATCTTTCAAAGGAAATTATAATCCATTCTTTTAAAAAATGTGGTATTTTAAATGAGTTAAGTGGATCTGAATATATGCTATTTATGAAGATATTGATGAAATTATTAGGAAAATTCAAGATGAAAATAAAAGAAATAATTGAGGATGATGAAAATAATATAATTTTGTAATTTTTTGGTTTATTTGCTTTATTTGTAAACATTACTTTTGATGAAATAAATCGTGCTAATTTTTGGCATGAAGTAAGAGGGTGCTTAATTTCGGGAGGGGTGACTAATTTTGGAAAAATAGGTATATAAAAAATGAGTTTTATTTTTTTTTTTATCGAAATTTAATATAAAAAATCAACCTTCTATATTATTACTTCGCCTATTATTCTCCTATAAACTGTTAGAATAATAAATATATGTAATGCCATAAAAATGATAAAATGATACTTTTGTTGCAAAAGAGAATTAAAAAAAAGAAATTATGTACATAGATATATAAAAATGAAAGAATGAAAGAAATAATAAATTTGTTCTAGAATTATAAAAATAATGTGAACCTGGACCAAAAAAAGTGAATTAAATAATGAATATTAAAGGATAAACGTAGACTTGATTAATGTTTCTGTAAAATTATAGAAAGATAAATTAGAAGCAAATCGAAACTAAAGAATTAATTGCACACAAAATACTCTACCCTTTTAATGCCATTATTGTTAGCATTATCGTAAAATTTTAACCTATCATTAAAATACTTTTCGAGTCCATTTGCACATTTGACGTATATTGTCCCTTCTGCGTTATATATACGACAATTATTAAAAATTATCCGCAAATCCAGGATATAATCTTCAAGTGTCTTATAACAGTTATTCTCAACTTTGGATTCAATTGTCATCAAGTCTAAAAATCGGACAATTAAAGCCATACATAAATCATAATATTATATATATTATATTTATATTTATATTTACCCATCGGAGTCTTGATAATTTTATAATAATCCGGAACTTCTTCTCCATTCACCGGATTTCTAAATGGCCACGATTTTGCATGCTTTTTCAACTCCGCTGTAATACTTGCCATTATGCTGCGATTCGTTTTCTTGTTGCCGTGTGCACTATTTTGAATAGAGATATTATTTAATTATCAACCAAATAAAAAAGAAAAGAATCAAACCAAGACTTACCGTGCTTCCATTTCCGGAGTCCATCCAGACTCTTTAATACCTAGAATTGTCATAGGTTCGACTGGTTTAACTAAATTCTTTTCGATCCCTTTATATATTGTGGCTTGTTTACGACGTTCTGTAAGTTTAATTTGAATGGCCTGTAGCAATATTTAATAGATTAGAAGGAATGAATGAATTATTAAATACAAATAACTCTATTGAATTAAAATTAAAATAAGTACTCTCTTTTGCTTTGCAAGTATCTCTTGAAGGTGAGTATATTGCACCTTCTGAATCATTTTGCACTATTGTAAATCAAAGACAATGCACATTAGACTTAAAAAATAAGTTTAATTATGAAAATAAGCAAAAAAAGCCAGTTTAGAACCAACCTGCATAATCGTGGCTTCATCATAATCTTTAATAAAATGTACCCATAAGCTGCGTTCGAGTGTAATTTCTGTTGTAAAACCCTGAAACGGAACCCATCATTAGTAATTCAATTATCAAACGAAATAGCTTAATCATTTGGATCTCTCACGTTTTTCTTGAAAAATCCCATTGCATGGTTGTCGGCGTACGTCATGAGATACTTTATATCTTCTTTATCTTTTAGGTGATCTTTAAGGTGGTTCATCATATGTGAACCGTATCCCTAAGTTGAGGAAAAATTATTAATCTTTAAAGGATTCAAATTAATTAAGATAGAACATACCTTGGCTTGTTCGTCCGAATTTACAACACAAAAAACGATCTCAGCTAGATGATTTTCTGAGAACAGACGGAATGTAATCCCACCAACAACCCGCTTTCTTTCCTTAACAATTGCCATCGATTGATGTTTCCTGTTAAAAATAAGGGTAAAGTTGTAGCTTGGGCATAATATTCTAAACAAGATTTATTTTAGAATAATAATTACCTGTCATAAACAAGGCGTGTTATATATTCGGCTGGCATGTTAGGTAACTGTGTGCGAATGCAGTTTTTTAAACTTGTTAAAAGTATTAAGTTATCCATGGTGTTATCATTTGTAATGACCTTCATCTCGATTATTCCTTCTCTTTCTTCGGCAACCGCAGGCTTTTCGGGTATTGATAGCGGTTCCTCTTCGAGTTTGACCTTGCGAGGTATCGGTGCTATATCTTCACCATCCTCCAATTTACGTTTAAAAGGTTTAATGGCCGCTGCATCATTTCCTGAGGTAAGTCTCCTATAAAAAAAAATTTTTATTAAAAAAGAAAAAAAAATAAAAATAATTTTTTTAAAGCATCATTTTATTTATGAATCAAATACCTCCGTAAATCTCGGACTTCTTCATCTTCGTATTCAAAATCTAAGAGCTTTCCTTTGGCTTCTAATGACTTATCTATTTTCATGGCGATTTCTAATCGCCAATTGAATTCTTCCGAAGTCCAAGGGTCCCCATGATTGCTAACCCTGTGATCACATGCACACATATCTGCACGACCAGTATTTTCAGTCTTTGGTTTCCACCCAGAACAAGAACATCGCACCAGAATGCTTCCGGAACTAGATACGCCAGCAGTACATGGGATATTCCTACCAATCTTTAAGAGCTTTTCATGTAAAGTAAGCGATTGGATTGGCTTTGACGCAGGAGGGTATGGGGGCATGATGTGATCTAATATAGTAATTAATTATGAATTCACATTAAAAGAATAACAACGCGGAAAGGTCAATAATCAATTGTTGCAGAAACTTGCCGTAATTCAGATGCAATCAGATGGCGTATGTGCTTTAAGAATGGAGTTTTTAATAACGACAAAACCAACAGAAATTATTTTTACGTATTAGTTTAAAATTTCTTATAAGGCTATTTATAATTACGTGACATTTGTGGTGAAAACGAAGAAAAACCTCTTAATTAGATCAAATTTTGCAGGAAAGTTTTCACTCTGTATATAATAAGTAAGTAGAACAGAATTTTAGAAGTTCAATGATGCAATTAAACGTATAGTGAGTCGGAATTAAAAAAAAAATTTATTAAATTTACAGCCTCGTGAAACACATGTTCAATAGATAAACCTTACCCATCGTTTGGGAAATACAGTAAAACATGGTTATACATAACATACATATTCCTTAATTTGGATCGATTCCCTAATTCCAGCCGAATTATAGCGCCGGCGTTAATTTTATTTTCTTACAAAACAACTATTCATACAACGTAATTTGCAATCTATTTCACTTAATTTTATTAGGTTATATTTTTTTAGAGTTGATTTCTGATAATATAACCATTACCAATAACTAGTTTATTACAAATGGTTTCTTTATACTTGAGTTTCTAATAAGAGGATCTTGATTAACAAAATTAACAAAGTAAATACAATTTTCAATTAATAACCTATAAATTTGTTAGTAACAAAATTTTATTGAATAAGGTTTTGATTATTATGATTATCTATTATAATCCATTTTGCTAGTTTTACCTTTAATATGTACTTTCTTTATATTACAAAACTTGTGATTTATTTAATAATATGATATTTAATAAGTATAAATTTCTTAAGATTTTTTTATAATCAATATACTGTATATTATAAAATACAAGAAAAAGAACTGTTACCATATATAAAAGAAAATAGAAAATGCAAAAAAAAATTAAAATAATAATCAAATATTATCAATTAAAACATATTTAAGTCATTAAAAAATATTGAAGAGATAATTTAAATTGATAAGATATACTTATACTAGTTGAAATCAAAAAGATTATAAATGGGATAAAAGAAACCAAATTTTAAAAAAACTTTTTTAAAAATAATTAAAGTTCTGAATCAAATGATAAAAATTGTATTATTTTACTTATAAATAAATTTTTGAAAAAATTTTCAATTTGGTCCCTTTTTTCAGCATTTATTTCATATGTGATAAATTCTTTATCAATTATTTATCAATTAAATATAATCATTAATTAGTCAAAAATTAATCTAAATTAATCTATCTGATTTATAATTGATTGAAATTGAGTTAAAAATTAACTCTTATTAGTAGGATTTCACAATTCGATTTGATATTTAAATGTTCAATTTGAAATTCAAATCAAATACAAATACAAATTTATATTTATTTGATTTGATTAAATTCAAATCAAAGAATGATTTATTTAATCAAATCCAAATTAATGTTTGATTTGATTTGATCAAATTTAAATCAAGTATTCAAATATTTAATTTGATTCGAATCAATAGAAAAGCTATCTCTAAAGCTTCAGAAGTAATTCTTATTAAGAAAACTATAGTAAAGAATACCTTAGCAGTTTTAGAAATACCTTTTTTTCTAAGAAAACTATAGTAAAAAGTGTCTCTACAGTTTCAAAAATGCTTTTTTACTAAGAAAACAATAATAAAAAATGTCTTCGCAACTTCAGAAATGCCTTTTTACTAAGAAAAACAGTAAAATATATCTTTGCAGCTTCAGAGATGTTATTTTACTAAATAGTAAAAAATACCTTCATAATTTTAGAGACATTTTTTAACAAGAAAACATAGTAAAAATGCATCTGTAACTTCAGAAATGCTATTTTATTAAGAAAATATAGTAAAAAACACTTTCATAACTTCAGAAACATTTTTACTAAGAAACTCAGTAAAAAAATGTGTCTGCAGCTTCAGAAATATTTTACTAATAAAATAGTTACGAAGCTAAGATAGCAATTATTACTAAGTTTTTTTAGTAAAACTGAAGCTGCAGTGATAATTATTACTAAGTTTTCTTAGTAAAACCAAAGTTGCGATGATGGTTATTACTAAGTTTTCTTAGTAAACTGAAGCTACAATGATAGTTATTACTAAGTTTTCTTAGTAAACTGAAGTTGTAATAGTGATTATTACTAAGTTTTTTTTTAGTAAAACTGAGACTGCTAAGTTATTTTACTAAGTTTAATAATAAAAATTCACCTGTTACTAAACTTACTTTGTAAAAGTTATTTTTGAAATTTTTTAATGCAATTACTAATAATTTTCTTAATTAAAACTTTATAATAACTTTATTTTAATATATCATTGTAAAAATTAAAAAATTTTTTATATTTGATTTGATTCAATTTTGAGGATCCCTAATTATTCATAAGAAATGATAAAACCATTATTTCTTTTAAATGATTTATTATCATTTCAATCAGATTATGCAAAATCATTTATTTAAAACATTTATATAAATTTTCTTAATAAGTGATAGATTAATAAAGAGAATTTTTTGATGGATTTTTTTTTTTTTTTGGAAAAGTTCTCATTTTAAAATTAAGATAATCATTCAGTAACAATTTTTATATGAATTTTTTAATATTTTCTTTATTTTTTTTTTTTAGGAAAATTCTTATTTTAGAATTAAGATAAATAAATTAAAAATGATTTTTTGAATATTTTCCTTTTTTTTCTTATTTTTTTTTTTTAGAAAATTTTTATTTTGGAATTAAGGTAAGAAAATCAAAAGTAATTTTTTAGGTATTTTTCTTTCTTTTTGCTTGTTTTTTATTTTAAAATTAAGTAAATTAAAGGTAACTTATAACTTTTTTTTTCTTTATTTTTCTTTGTTTTTTTTTAAGTAATTTTTTTTTACAAAAATAAGGTAAGCTTTTTGGAGATAAATTTTAGATGGTTTATTAATTATTTTTTTATTTTCTTTATTTTTTCTTTACTTTTTTTAGAAAAACATTAAGATAATTAATTAGAATTAGTTTTTTGATTTGTTTTTAACAGATTTTTTATTTTTTCTTATCTTTAAATAATCAAATGTATATTTTTAAATAAATTATAATAAAATATTTATTTTTTTTAGTAAATTATTATATAATAGTAAAATAAAATTATAAATAATAAATAAATAAAAAATGAAATAATTGCTTAATTGATTTTAACTATTTTTAAGATAATTATTAATTGATTTTAAGCTGGTTTAAATCAATTTTAATATTAATACTAATTGATAGCTAATTAAATAACTATCAAAATGCTGATTTTTTGACAATGATTAGCAGAATTTAGACTATATTTCAGTTCTAACTTTCAGTACTTTAAAATGTGATGAATTGGTTAGTAATATCAAATAACTATCAATCATTAAATAACGATAATGATTTTTTATTAAGTTGCAGTTTTATTAGACAACTTTGATTATAATTAAAAATACTAATTTTTTGACAATAATCAACAAAAATTAAACTATATTTCAGCTAACATTCAGCATTTAAAAAAGTGATAAAATAGATTATTCTAACTAGTATATTTATCTTTTGTTTTAATTTATTTAATGATATAGGAATTATTATAGTAAATTACTATTACTATTAAATTCTTAATAGATAAAATATATTCTTAAAGTATTTTTTTACTATTATTTTATTTTTTATTTTAAATCTTTATAAATATCTTCAAATAAAATTTATAACTTGCATAAATTATATTTGATATATAATATATATATAATAATATAAATAATATATAGTATACTATATATAATTTTTTAACTAATAAAATTGATTATTAGAAAGTAGATGAGAATCAGCATTTCAAGTGAAAAAAATCAGCTAATTTTGGCATATCACTTAGTATAGGTTTCAAGATCAATTTCTTTTCAGATATGTTATATCTTATTTCATAAGTCCTCTTTACTTAAAATTTATTTAAAGAGGTATCTAAGATAACAATAAATCTCATTTCATAAATATTTAATAGGATTTAAATCTGAAGATTAGATTTAATTTAAAACTATTGTCTTATTTCTTTTAAGTCATTATTTTATTGAATTTGCTATATATGGGAGCTGATCTATTAAAAGTGGATTATAAAACATGGTAAATCATATGATCTGTATCTCAACTTTAATAGAATACTACCCATATATCTTTAACATTAAAATCATATATATTAATAGTATTATTAAATTTTTATAAAGAATTTGTTAATATATTCAATATTTATTATACTTTTAATCTTATAATATCCACTAATATCATGAGATGTAAAATATCTTCATATTGTGAATGAATAAAATATGATAGGACCTACGTGATGCAGATGATCGACAAATCTGACAAATCTAACAAATCTGACATTTCTGACATATCTGACATATATGATATATCTGACATGATCGACAAATAGAATATATTAGACAGATTCAACATATATGATATATCAGACATATTTGATATATACGATATATTAGACATATTAGTTATATCTTTTTATATACTGTATTTTATATAAATAGATAGCGTTTTAGGCTATGTAAAAAGTAGGATTTGACAAGTCAGTTTTCAGTAGTTTTTAAGAGGCAAACAGACCTATTGTATTACATTTTAGTTTCATACTTCGTTTTTTTATGTTCTTTTCTTTTCTTTTCTCTTGTAATATCTTTTATTTTCTTTACTTCTATTTTTTAACTTATTAATAAACATCTTACTTGAAAATATAATTACTTAATACCTTGTGAATTGTTAATTGTAAAACACTCATAAAAACCTTTATTTAAAACTTTTACCTGAATTTAGCCGTGATAATAAACTTGTAAAAGCCATAAGATTACTGTGCAATTAAAAAGAAATAACACTCTAATATCTCATCTCGTCTAACAGTTGTAGTTCGTAAGAATTATACGTTAACAATAT